TTATATAGCTTTCTCCGCCCTGCCATCACTTCCTGGGATTAAAGGCTTGTGTGCTTTCCAGTACTGGGATTAAAGGTGTGTGCCACCACTGCCTGACTCTGTTCCCAGTGTGGCCTTGAACTCACAGAGATCCAGATGGATCTCTGCCTCCCAAGTGATAGGATTAAGGGTGTGTGCCACCACTGTCTGGCCTCTATGTCTAATCTAGTGGCTGGCTCTGTCCTCTGATCCTCTGGCGAGCTTTATTGGGGTACACAATATATCACCACAATGTGTCAAGTGAAATAAGCAGACACAAAGGAAGATGTACAACATGGCTCCAAGTCTGAGGGTCTCTAGTGTCATCAAACTTAAGGACAGAAAGTGGGATGGGGACTTCTCAGGCTAGAACATATGGAGCTGGTTCAACAGGGACAGAGTTTTAGCTTTGAAGATGATGATAACCACTCGGCTCAGGGCAGCATTGTATAGTTGAAGATGATTTTGAATTTCTGACCTTTCTATCTCCACCTCTTGAGTTCTGGAATCACAGGAGTGTGCCACCATGCTAGGTAAGCAGTCCACTGAACTTCACCCAAAGCCCATGATGATGCAGCATGTAAGAGTTGCGTTTATTTATTCTTTCCTCTTCTTAGGAGGCATCTGGAATAGTGTTCAACAGATGTGAGCAAATATTGAATTATTTTGTCTTTGTTTTTGCTCAGAAAGACTTTAGTATTTATTTCTTTTCTCCCATATTGCCTTAAGATTTTTATAATGAGCAATGTACTATTTTAAAAATTTAGGTAACCTATTTTTAAGAATTAGGGTAACTACTAGAAATTGGATGTATAACTTTCAAAATGGAAAAAAGATAGAAGAAAGAAAGCTCAACTCACAAGTGGCAGGAAAAAGTCAGGAAAAAAGTCAGGTAGGCATAGAAAATAGGGCAAATGGAGAAGAGCTGAAGTGGCCTCAGGGTATCTACCGCTGTCATAAATGGAAGTAGGTTAGAATTGGGTGGACTTGAAGCTAAGCATTGAAATTGCTGTAGCTCTAGCAGTGTTATTTACTTTTTTATTTTAAAGATTTATTTTTAGTTTTCATTTATGTGTGTGTGTATGTCTGTCTCTGTGTGTATGCCCATGTGTGTGCAGTACCAGCAAAGGCCAGAAGGGGGCATCATGCCCTCTGGAGATTGAGTTATAGGAGGTTGTAAGCCATCTGACATGGTACTAGGAACTAAGCTCAGGTCCTTTGCAAGAGCAGCAAGTGCTTTTCACTGCTAAGCCAATTTTTTCTTCAGCTTCTCAGTATTTAAAAGGAGAGACGTGAAATACAGAGTGAAACAGCATTCATTAACAACACAGCCCATGCTCCTGTCCTCTTCTGCTCTCTGTGGGTCAATGTGGCTGTGTCCTTGCAGAGGGGGAGTCCCTCGGGGGACAGGAGGACAAACAAGTTCTGAAGGTGGCAGTTGTTTATGCTGCTGCAGTGAATGTTTTAAAACAGCCACAGGGACGGAAACATGAGTTAGCTTAATCCTTCCGTAGCGTGAACAATCATCACATCATAGAGCAGCCTTGTTTATATGCACCTGTTCCTTGTCAGTGAAAAAAAAGGGAAACTTTCTGAGATTAGTATCAGATGAAATAAAATTCAAGAGAAAAATCAGCAAAATGGGACAAGAGTGTTTTATTTTCCCCTGACACTTTAAAAGTCTAGTCCATGGAGAACATATAACTGAAGACAATGGTGATGGTCTGTTTAGCATGCTTTCTCATGATCCTGCCTCCCCAAAAATTGCAAACAAAAGCAAAGAGTGACAAGGATTGTAAGATCTCTTGCTGCTGCCTTGCATGGCGTGAGCAGAATCTAGAGGAGGGTGTTGGATCCCATGGCCCTGGAGTTACAGATGATGGTAAGGCCCCCTGTGTGGGTGCCAGGAACCAAACTTGGGTCCTCTGCAAGAATAGCAGCAACTTTTGGTTGGTTAGACTTCCTCTTGTACCTCTACTTTTTAAAGAATTAAGGGTTGGGGATTTAGCTCAGTGGTAGAGTGCTTGCTTAGCAAGCACAAGGCCCTGGGTTTGGCCCTCAGCTCCAGGGGGAAAAAAAGAAAGAATTATTTATTTATTTATTTATTTTTTGAGACAAGGTCTCACTATGTTGCCATGGTTGGCCTGGGACTTGCTTTACATACCAGACTGGCCTTAAACTCCCAGGGATCCACCTGTCTCTGCCTCTGAATGCTGAAAAAAAAAAAAAAAAAACTAACTTGGTAAATATTCATTGTTCATGGTGACAAGTTTCATAAAGACATTTCACACAGGGATATTGTATGCTTTGACTATATTCACTCACCCGCTCTCCCCTTCATCTCCCCTCTCCAGTCCCCTTTGCTCACCCATTTCCGTTTCTACTTCATGTCATATAAGGATCACCTTGACTATCTTCTTCTGTTGCTCTCCACCTTATTTTTTGAGATAAGGTCTCTCCTATGAACCCAAAACTCATTGATTCCTCTTCAGTGGCTGGCTGGAAAATCTCAGGATCTTCCTGTCTCTGCCTCTCCAGCACTAGGGTTATAGACATTAACCACCATACCCATCTTTTATGTGGGTGCTAGGCATCTGAACATTGTATACTGAACCATCTCCCAGTCCCTGTTAGATCCTCCTCCTCCCTCCTCCTCCTCCTCCCCTCCCTCCCTCTCTCACTTCCTTCCTTCCTCCCTCATACCTGCCCACCTCTCTGTGTGTGTGTGTGTGTGTATGTGTGTGTGTGTGTGTGTGTGTGTGTGTGTGTGTGTGTGTGTGTACCACAGTGCACATGTAAAGATCAGAGGACTACTTTTAGGAGTCAGTTCTCTCTTTCTACAATGTGGGTCCCAATGATGGGACTCAGGTCATTGGGCATGGCAGCAAGACCTTTGACTTGCTGGAACATTTTAGCCCTATTTTTCGGTTGTTTTGGAGGGACCTCCACACTGATTTCCACAGTGGCTGCACTCATTTACATTCCCAGAGCCATGTGTAGCTCCCAAACCATTGCCAGTGTTAGTGGCTGTTTTTTTTTTTTTTTATAGCAGCAGTTCTGATTGGAGTGAAATGGGATCTCAATATCTCAATATAGTTTAAATTGCATTTCTCTGGTGGCTAAAGATGTTGAACATTTTTACATGTTTGTTGACCGTGAGCTTTGCCTTTTAATTTTTAATTTAAATTTTATGTGTATGAGTGTTTGCCTGAATAGGTGTACGTTCACTATGTGTGTTTGGTATCCATGGGGGCTAGAAGAGGGCATCGGATCCCCTGGAATTGGAGTTACAGATGGTTGTGAGCTACAAGGTGGGTGCTGGGATGGAACCCAGATCCTCTGGAAGAGCAGCAAGCTCTTAAGGGCTGAGCCATCTCCCCAGCCGTAATGGTCTTGTGAATTCTTTATGTATTCTGGATATTAATCCTCTCCCAGATGTGAGCAAACTTTTTTTTTTGCCTTTTCTTCAGTCTGTCTCTTTATTCCATTGCTTCCTTTGCTATGCAGAAGCTTTTTAATTTATGTAGTCACGTTTGCCAATCCTTGCTTTTATTCTCTGAGTTATTGTGCTTTTCAAACAGTCCTTGCTACCCCAATTTCTTGAAGTATTTTTTTCTTAATGTTTTTACTTAACACTTTTACAGTGTTGGGTCTTACATGAAGGACTTTGATCCATTTTAAATTGCTTTTTTTGTACAAGATGAGGAGCAGGGATCCGGTTTTGTTCTTCTCCATGTGGCTATTTAGTCTCTCCAGCACCATTTGTGAAGGAGGTGGGCTTTTCTCCAGTGTTTTGCTACAGAGCATAAGGGTCTGAATTCAGGTCCCTAGCACTTTTACCAACTATCAAGTGTCTGTGCCTGTGTGGGCTTATTTCTGGGTCTTCTATGCCAGCACCATGCCGTTTTTATTGGTTCTATAGGATAACTTGAGATTTGGTATGGTCATGCCCTCAATATTGCTTTCTTTCTTTTTTATTTGAAAGATTTATTTATTTATTATGTATACAATGTTCTCCCTGCATGTATGCCTGTAGGCCAGAAGAGGGCACCAGATCTCATCATAGATGGTTGTGAGCCACCATGTGGTTGCTGGGAATTGAACCCAGGACCTTTGCTGGAAATTGAACTCAGGACCTCTGGAAGAGCAGCCAGTGCTCTTCACCTCTGAGTCATCTCTCCACCCACCCCCACCCACCCCCCACTCACCCCCGGCCCAGTATTGCTTTCTATTCTGAGTCTTTTCTGCTTCTGTATGAGTTTTAGAATTTTTTTTTAACCTCTGTGCTGAATGTCATTGGAATTTTGATGGTGGTTGCATTGAATCTGGAGATTGCTTTTGGTAACATAGTCATTCTTAGGATATTTAATTTTAAGTTTGTCTATCCACAAGCATGGGAGGTCATCTTCAGCCTCATTCTTCACCATTCAAAATTTTTATTGTAAGGTCTTTTATCTCCCTGGTTAGGTTTATTCCAAGGTACTAGTTTTCACTCTAGTGTGAAAGATTTCTTTTCCTGATATTCCCCCTTACCCCAGCATTTTCATTATTGGCATATGGGAAGGGTACTGATTTTTGTGTGTTAATTTTGTGTCCTGCCACTTTGCTGAAGGTGTTTATCAGCTCTCAGAGCTTCCTGCGGGGAGCGTCAGGGTCTCTCTCTCTCTTTCTTAAATTCTTTTAGTCTTATTTATTTTATTTCATGTGTATGTGGGTCTTGCTGCAAATATGTCTTTGCATCATGTGCATGCATAATGCCTGTGGAGGACAGAAGACAGCATTGATTCCCTGGAACTGGGAGTTATGGATGGTTGTGGCCTCCATGTGGGTGCTGGGAACTGAACCCAGATCCTTTGCAAGAGTAACCAGTGCTCTTAATTACTGAGTCACCATCTCTCCACCCACAGGGTCTCTTGTGTATAGGATCATGTCATCTACAAAGGGGATTTTTTTTTTTTTTGCTTAGAGAAATGTTGTTTAATGGTAAAGCTTAGCACACTCCAGCACCAGGACTGGCATGGAGTCGAAGCAGCGGGGACGGCTGGGTGACCCCACGGAGCCTCACATGGCGAAGAGGATGAGGAAGGCGACCATCAAACAGAAGAGCCCCATGGCCTCAGACAGGGCAACACCCAGAATGGCATAGGAGAAGAGCTGTTGCTTGAGAGACGGGTTCCTGGCATAGCTACCAAACACTGTTCCAATGCCAGTCCCTGATCCAGCCACACCAATGAACTTGGCGGCTGTGTCAAAGTCCCGGGACACAACACTGGTCTGGAATTCCCGTCTGGCCACCTGGAGAGGGGAGCTGCTGTAGGAAGGCTGTTTAGATGGGTCCTCTGGGCTACTCAAGAGGGAAGCGGACACAGGCCTGAGTAGACCCCTGGTACAGGAGCGGATCAGACCTGGAGAAACGAGCAGTGCCTTGGTGGTCTGCATTTTTCAACCTGCACTCCCACTCACCTGCAGCCCTCGGCCCACGGCACTCTCTCTGCTCAAGGTGACTGTACAAATGGGAATTATATGACTTCTTCTTTCTGTTTTTGTATCTCCTTCCTTCCTTCCTTCCTTCCTTCCTTCCTTCCTTCCTTCCTTCCTTCCTTCTCTCTTTCTCTCTCTCTCTCTTTCCATCTTTCTTTCTTTGTCTTATTGCTCTAGTTAAGACTTCAAGTACTATACTGAAAAACAGTGGAGAAACTGGGTGTCCTTATCTTGTTCCTGAATTTAGTGGGTGTGCTTTGAGTTTTCTCCCATTTAGTACAAATGTTCGATAGAAGTTTGTTGTATAGAGCCCTGATTATTTTGAGTTTCTTCAGAGATTTTATCATGACGGGATGCTGGGCTTCATTAAAGGCCTTTTTTCGTCACGTGATTTCTGTCCTAAGGTCCATTTGTGATGTGTGATGTGCTGCATCTGTTGGTTTCCATCCTTGCATTCCTGGGATGAAACCCAGGTCATGATCATGGTGAGTGAGTTTTTGGATGCTGTCTTAGGTGGGGTTTCTATTGCTGTGAAGAGACACCATGACTATGGAAACTCTCATAAAGGAAAACATTTCATTGGGGTGGCTTACAGTTTCAGAGTTTTAGTCAGTTATCATCACGGCAGGACACGGTAGCATGCAGGCAGACATGGTACTGGAGAAGGAGCTGAGAGTCCTACATCTTGATCTGTATATAACAGGAAGTGAACTGAACTAGGTATGGCTTGAGCATAGGAGACCTCAAAGCCCACCTTCACAGTGACACACTTCCTCCAACAAGGCCACACCTCCTAATAGTGCCATTCCCTTTGGGGACCATTTTCTTTTAAACCGCCACTAATAGGTTGTTGAGTTAGGTTTGCCATTTATTTTGTTGAGGATTTGTTTTTGTGTGCATTCATTCATTATGTGAGAGGAGAGGAGGGTCTCCAGAAACCCACTGAATGAAATTCCAAAGTTTTCCAGAATCCTCTACATAGTCATGACTAGGAGAGTTGAAGTGCAAATCTTCTTCGAGAAACCCACACCTGTACTCCCAGGCATGGTTTGTTGTTCTTTGAATGTCTTTTTTCTGTTTTTAATAAACTCCAACTCTGCTTTACACTGACTCATCCTGAAATTTCTTAAAAAAAAAAAGTCACAGTTTTGCCTGAGTGGAGGTCTCTGCAAAGAACTCCCCAGGTGGCTGCCAGGGGCAATGTGGCATGTGCCTCGGTCCTCACCACATCTGACATCCTATACTGGTTTTTACCATGACAGGTTGGAGGACAGATGCTCATGAAGATAATCTGCTCTCACATAGGCTCTTCAGTCAAAGAAGATGGGGCCATTTAAGTTGGCTTTCCAGATGATTGCAGGTACTCAGCTGAGACTGAGCCTCCGTGAGCAGGTCACCAGAGTCTGGGCTCTGAAGCTCATTGGTTACACCCAGGTCCACTGTTGCATTTGGGGACTGGAAGGACCTTCTACACATGTGATCTTGAGCCTGGCTGAGACCTTGGAGCACCCTGCCTTGGTTATTTTGAAAACATTTGCCAAAGAAGCTTGTGGAGCTTCCAAATGTCAGCACACTTCACTAAACAGTGTTGAAACCCACTCTGTGTCTGCCCAGGTCATCATAAGGGTTTTCACCTCTCAGAGGCTAACAAGTTTTGATGCAGATCTTCGAAGATGTTTACTTTTTCTTAAAGATTTAAATTTTGTCCTTCGTGACAATCCATCAGTGTTTTCCTTGGGAAACACTGTGACCACCCTTGGGAAAATGTTTGCCAGACACCTGAGCTGTAGAATCGGTTATGTCTATCTGTCCAGAGAGATGATGCCCTGAGAAGTGGCCAGCTGCTGGTGGTGAGGAAGAGCACATGTTTCCTGAGGCTGCTGCTGCCCCCCAGCATGGGAAGAGGGCTCCATACATGCCCCATTTGTCATATGTCCTATGAGGGTGCATAATCAAATCAGTTATAACACTTCAGGTGACAACTGGTAGAGTTGATGTCCTCACCCTCAGTGGAGTCAGACTCCATAGTCACACCATCAGAGTGAAGGTTCACTTAGTGCCAGCCAATGACAGGGCAGCCTGTGCTGAGGAATCAGTGAGGACCAGGAGGGACACTGGAGGACACAAGAAGACCATCTCTTGGGGAGGTGGTAGATGAAAAGGGGTCCCTACTCTTGGGGAAAAAGTTGGCCACTATGAAGTGGGGGACCAGAATCTTTCTGGCCTCTGAGAAGGATTCTGTCTGTTGTCCATGTGGCTTGCTGTGGCTATCTGACAAGACTGACTGGAATGGATGGGATCGGGGTACCTGGGGGCTGCATGAACTCTCACACTTCCCACCCAGAGTCAACATGTCCTTATCTCAATAGATGCTAGATCAGAGGCAGACAGGCCCCTGTGGTGTGGAGCAAGAGTGGGGTAGATTCCTAGTTACCCTGACTCTGGGATGGAGAGACAGGTTGTCTAGTAGACATGTCAGAGCTCAGCTTGGGAAGGAATCCATTCCCACTGGGAGCTGTGCCTTCATTGGGGATAGTCAGTTTATGTCCTCTTGAATTGGCAAGCAAGTACCCATACATTCAGTCAATTGTGGTCTGGGTATGACTGTGAGAGGGAAACTACTTCCTTCAAAAGAACTGTGTATTAGGAAACATTTGTCTAGACATGGAACAAAATGGAAAAATTAAAAATAACACAGTGATTAGAATTATAGTTCAATAATTGGGTTAAGTGGGATTAGTGTTGGCTGAAGGGAATTTGCATTCTAATGTTGAAAAATCAGTAAGAAAGAAACAACATAAGTCACTGTGTTGTGTGTTTGAGGTGCCATTGGATCTGCTTGCTAATGTGTTTGTGATATCTTTCTGTGATGTGTAGGCACCATGCTATTCTGGCATCACACCTACATTGGGCTTACAGCTTATACCTTTGAAACAATGGAACCGTGTGGCCTGGAGAGTCTCATGGAGAAAGTTTTAAGTAGAAAATTCACTTTCTTTAATAGACACTGAGATCTGGTGAACTGCTGACATGGTTTTCCATGATGTATGTATGTATGTATGTATGTATGTATATGTGTATGTATGTATATATATATATATATATATATATATATATATATGTATGTATATATAATTTTTTTTTGTCAATTTAACCCAAAGCTAGACCTACCTGGGAAGAAAGAATCTTAATTGAGGAATTGTCTCCTGTGGACATGTCTGTCAGGCATTTTCTTGATTGCTGATTGATGTGAGTGGGCCCCGCCTACTGTTCATGCTGCCACCCCTGGGCATGTGGCCTAGGTGCTATAAGAAAGCAGGCTGAGCAAGTTATGGTGAAGAAGCCAGTTCGCAGCATTTCCCCCATGGCCTCTGCTTCAGTTCCTGCCTCTAGGTTCCTGACTTATTCCTGCCCTGAATTCCAATCGCTGTGAACTTGTCAGCTGCCATGTGAAATAAATCCTTTTTTACGTTGCTTTTGGCCGTGGTGTTTATCACGCAGTCGAAAGCAAGCGAGGACCGTTAGCGTTTGCTGTGTAACGAACCAGTTCAAAATTACAGCGAAACCCAAAGTGACAGCCGCCACAGGGCTCATGGTTTGCTGGGTCAGACTGCGGGCTGTGGTGACCCGGCAGTTTTTGCGGGTCCCTGGGATAGCAAGGTGACTGTGATGCCGGGGGGTTTAAAGTTTCTGGGATATCTGGAGATGGAAGTTCCTTCTAGACTGACACTCTAATTGGTGCTCAGTCACCATGATTCTCGCAGAAGCTGTACCAGCTCCAGAAAAATGCCACAGCATCCAGTCAGCCAGACCAAGCCCTCCCCATAACTGTCCCACCATTCCTCAAGGCCGCCCTGCCCTCCAGCATGAGAAGCCCTGCAGGTGTACGCCTCGAAATTCCGAACGTCCATGACCGGAATGTGAAGACGGCTTCCCTCTTGAAAAGAGCGTCTGTTTGCATGTAAACACCTTCCCTTTGCTTTTGTGCTTAAGACCCCTGATGCTAAACACACATTAAAGATATTTATTGGCTTTTAATAGAAGAGCCCTTAACTGTGCAGCCGAAGTGAATTTGCGGGTTAATTTAGCACACGGTCCTCCCAGCGGCTCAGTGTCGGCAGAAACGTTCGTTTGCTGGAAGGCGCGGCTCCTCTTGCTGTCTAGCTGAGTGCTGCTCATGAAAGCGGTTCTAATGCCTGCTGATTGGATCTGAGCTTGAAATTAAATTGAAGTGCAGGGTTTCTGATCACCTGTCAGAAGGAGGGGCTCACCTGTTCCCTGTAATACTGAGACTGTCGCGATTTACACTGTCGGGAGGCTTTGAAGGTACCACTGTGGATGGATCTGAGCCCAAAGCGGCCATCCCTGTTCTTTGGCAGACGTGATCTGCAGACCAATTTGTTAAGAAGGTGGAGGCCTTGATCCAGGCAAGTGCAATATTTAGAAAGAGATCAGAGGAGACTGCGTTCGTTCCTCACTAGGCTGTTCTTTTGTACTAGTCTTGGACCGTCTTACTCTGTGGCTTCCCTCAGGTTGGAGAGCTGTCCACCAGCCTCAAGACTGCAGGTCAGGTACATGAGGTCTGGGGAGCAGGAGCGAAGGGACGGGCAGAAGGGGCAGTGGTGGCCGCTTTGATTTTGTAAATTCCGAATGAGTTCTGTGGGGGATGGTGCGATCTCCTGGGACCTGGACCCTTTCTACCCCTATTTGCTGTGGCCGCACGGGTCCGTCTCCCCATTTGTCTACGAGCTACTTTGGTCACTAGATGTGGCGGCAACAGCAAGGTGCTGGCTGAGGTCTTGTGGAATTCTGCCCTCTCACCGGCTGCTGGAGGCTGACCAAGGTCAGCTTACGGTAGAAAGGACAAAAAAGGGCTGTCCACCATTCTTGCCCAGGTTGCCCTAAATGAGTCCGCATCTAGCTCACCTCTGAGTGAGCCATGGGGTCATTAGAGCAGTCTTCTGGCTCCGACACCTGAGCGAGCA